GGGCGTGGAGGTCCGGCGGGGGGGCGAGTACTCTAATATTTAGCGTCGGGGCTGCCCTGGGCGAAAGCGGCACCCCCCAGAAGTCGGGCAGGATGAGGGGCTGCGCTCCTTTGCCGGGTCGAGAGCGGCTTCGTCAGAAGAAGGGGCGTCCCTCGGCGGAGCCGGGCGGGGGTGAGGCGGCGCTGCGCGGGTGAGGAGGGGAGCGCACCATCTCGCGCGCGTCGGACGCCGACGGCGGCGGCTCCGCCCGCCCCCCCCCGGGCGGGGCAGGCCAGTCGGTCGGCTGGAGCGCAGGCACGCGAAGCACGGCGGGGGGCGGCGCCGGCGCGGCGGCGGCCGTAGCCTCCTCGGCGCGCCAGCCGCGCAGCAAGTGGTCGAGCGGGAAGGGCGCCGCGCCGTCGGCCCGCTCGAGGACGAGCAGCGCCGTCGGGCGCAGCGTGGCGACGAGGTCGGTGAGGAGCTGCAGGCCTGCGGGGCGGGGCGAGTGCGGGTTGAGGGGGCGCGCCACCCGCAGGCCTGGCGCAGCGGGTTGGTCCACGCGCCGAGATATGGGGAGATATGGGGATATATGGGGAGATATGGGGAGATATGGGGAGATATGGGGAGATGCGCCACGCGCCGAGGCCCTGCACCCAGCCGCACGTGTTGACCAGCAGAGGAGGCGCTCCCTCGCCGCCCTCGCCGGCGGCGTGGGCGGCGGCGGCGGCGGCGGCGGCGGCCGCGTGCACCGTCGCGAGGTGGGCTGCGGCGGCGACGTAGGCGCGCGGGTCGGCGGCGGGCGACGCGGCGCCGAAGCAGACGGCCGCGTCGGCGGCGACGTGCGCCGCGCGGCGGTGGGCGAGGGGAGGGCCGAGGAGAGGCTCGTGCAGGGTGCGGAGGGAGAGGAGTCCGGCCGGGCCTGCGCAGCGGCACGAGCAGCGGAGGAGGGGGAGGCGGGAGAGGGGAGGGGGGTGCGGCGGGCTCCCGCCGAGCAGCTCAGGGCTGTCCGGGCAACCTCGGTGCCGATCTCTCGGCGCATCTCTCGCCGCATCTCTCTCACCGAGCTCTGGCTGCCCGACGTCGCAGTCGAGCAGCCCCACTGCGGGCGGGCCAGAGGGGCGCCGGAGCGCCGCGTTGGCGAGGACTGCGTTGGCGAGGAGGCGGAGGAAGCTCGACTTGCCGCTGTTCCGCGCTCCCACCACCACCACCACCGCCGGCCCTCCCCCTCGCCCGCCGGCCGACCGCTCGCCGACGTGGCGCAGCGCGGCCTCGACCCCCTCCTCCCAGCCGCATGGCAGGAGCGCGCCGAGCCGGCACACGCGTCCGGCGGCGGTGGGCGGGAGGAGCTGGAGGCGCAGAGACGAGCAGAGCGCGTCCGCCACCGCCGTCGGCGCTGACGCCTCCGCGCCGGTGGCGGGTGCGGCCTCTTCGCCGGAGACGCCAGGCGCAGCCGCAGCTGCGGGAGACGGCTCGGCAAGGCTGGCCGCACCGGGGCCGTCCGCCTGCTCCGCCGCCGCTGCGGCCGCCCGCTCCCCGTCCGCCTCGCCAGCCCACTCCTCCGCCTCCTCCACCTCTTCGCCCATGCCCTCCTCCTCGCCCTCCTCGCCCTCCTCCTCGCCCTCCTCGCACTCCTCCTCCTCGCCCTCCTCCTCCTCGACGAGCGATTCCAGCAGCGCGCGAGGCCGGTCCGGCAGCGGCCCTACAGGCGAGAGTGCGGCACCAGGGTATAGCACGGCTGCAGCCACCTCCGCCGCCACACAAGCCGCCGCACCGCCGCCCGGCTCTGCCGCCTCCGAGTCTGCCGCCGCCTCGCCGCTAGCGGCAGACTCGCTGCAGTCGGCGGGAGCCGCGGGTGCGTCCGGACTGCTGGCGGCGAGGTGCTCGGGCGCCGGGTCGATGGCACGCACATGCACCGTCGCGCTCGCAGAGACCGAGGAGAGGGTCTGCGGCGGGCGCGGGCGGCGGGTCGGTCTCTCGGCGCGGCGGTGGGTCGGTCTCTCGGGCTGCCTCGCGCCGTGTCGGTGGGACATCTACCCGACATCTACCCGACGCGCCTGCAGCGCCAGTGGCAAGCCTCCGGCGGGCGAGTGCACGGCACACCAGCCCGAGTCGGCGCTCAAGTGCGAGCCAAGGACGCAGAGCGAGCCCTGCACCACGCGGAGCTCCGCCGAGCCGAGAAAGGCGAGCGGCTGCAGCGGCGAGACGGCAACCTCGACGTAGGCGGCGTCCGCGGCTGGCGGCCCGGCCTCGGAGGCGGCCGGGGCGGCAGCCAGGCGCGTTTGCCTGGACGCGTCGCCACCAGAGCGTCGTCGCTTGCGGGGGCCCATGGCGGGTTCAGAAGAATTCGCGCGCGAAGAAAAGGATTTTAGAAAAAAATTCCTCGCACAACACTGGGAACTGGACTGGCGCGCACTGAAAGAATTTTATCCCCCGCATTCTTAAAATACAAGCCTCTCTCACAGCACACTGGCACGACAAGGACGCGGACTGGCGCGGACTGGCACACACACCGGCTCACCACACCAGAAAGAATTTTAGCACAGAAAGAATCACCCGCACCACTGGCACTACGAACGAAGCGGCCTGGAAAGAAAAGAAGATTCGCCTTTTCCCCAAAAGAAAATCGCTCCTCAAGACTCTGCTGACCCCGCCGATGGCCTCCCACCGCATCGGCGCCCGCCTGTCTCCGTGGCCTCTCGCAGCTCGTCGCCTTCATCGAGGCGCAGGCGCCCCTCTGGAGCGCCGCCGCAATGCGCGTGGCGGAGGAGCACGCCGCACGGCTCGTGGAGCAGCCCGAGTGGGTGCTCTCCGAGGTACTCCTCTCTCTCGCCGGACCTCGCCCCGCACATCCTCGCCGAGCTGCCGACCAAGGAGCACGCCGCCAAGGGGACGTGCCGCGCGTGGCGCCGCGGCTGGAAGGAGACGCTGAAGAAGCGCGAGAGGCCGCGCCTGCTCGTGTTCGGCGGCCACGACAGCGAGGGTGGGACTGTCAACTCGCTGGAGCGGTACGACCCTTCAACAAACGCGTGGGCGATGGCGCCGATGCCGACGGCACGGATTGAACGCATGACGGTCCTCGATGGCAAGCTCTACGCGGCGGGCGGCCAAAACGAGGAGGCGGAAGGCGCAGCTTCCAACCTGGTGGAGCGGTACGACTTGGCTACGAAGTCGTGGGAGGCTGTGGCGCCAATGGCGACACCACACGAGAATCACGCCGTGGTGGTGCTCGACGGCAAGCTGTACGCTGTTGGCGGGCGGGGGAGTGGGTACGACGGTGGCTTCCTCACCTCGGTGGAGCGGTACGACCCGGCGGCGGACGCGTGGGAGGCGGTGGCGCCGATGGCGGAGGCGCGCGGGTATCACACCATGGCGGTGCTCGACGGCAAGCTGTACGCTAACGGCGGCTACAACGGCAGCGACCTCAGCTCAGTCGAGCGGTACGACCCGGCGACGAACGCGTGGAAGGCGGTGGCGCCGATGATGGCGGCGAGGAGCGCTGTCGGCGTCGCTGTGCTCGACGGCAAGCTGTACGCTGTGGGAGGCTACAACGACGACGACGGCCGCCTCAGCTCGCGTCGGTGGAGCGGTACGACCCGGCGCTGGATGCCTGGGAGGCGGTGGCGCCGATGGCGGCGGCTCGCGCAAACCTCGCAGCTGCGGTACTCAATGGCAAGTTGTACGTTATGGGCGGCAACGACGAGAACGAGGCCCTCAGCTCGCTTGAGCGATACGACCCCGCGACGAACGCGTGGGAGGCGGCTGCGCCGTTGACGACCGCACGATCTTTTCAGGGCATCACCGTGGCGTCCAAGCTGCAGAAACGAGCTTTTAGTGGCTATAAGCATAGGCACTGAGATATGGTGCGCGCGGAGCGCGCTGGTGCTACCTGGACATACGGGCGGAGCGCGCTAGCTGGACACCCGCGCGGAGCGCGCCGGCTAGATACCGCGGAGCAAGAGCAAATCAACACAACCGTTCGAACGCTGACGCCGCAAGTCGTTGCCGCCGGGTGCCAAAGTGCGCCTGGATTGCTCCGCAGCACAAGCATCCACGGAGCCAGCGAGCGCCGAGCGACATTGCCATGTCGGCGGTCATTGGGTCAAACTTGTAAAATGGTGCCGATAGCCGAGGTAGCTCCGGCGGACGTGAGAGCACGGCCTGACGATCAAGTACGAGAGCGACGAACGGAGGCGCAGATAACTGGCGGTGAAACTCACTGCTGATACCTGCTGGAGCTCAGACTACGCGAGTTACTGGCCGGAGCCAGAGCCGTCGCCGGAGCCAGACCGTACCCCTTTGGGGCCGGGGCCGGGGCCGCTGCCGGTCGGCTCCCAGGCGAGCAATCCGCGTAACCCTCTCGCGATGTGGTCGCATGTCCAATGGAAGACCGCGGAAATGGTCCACGGATTCGACTGCGTCCGGCGACGGCCGTGGGTCTGCGGTTCAGACACTGGTTGGACCAGCGAGGACGGCTGGCTGCCTCAGCCCCGTTGTCCCGACGGCCAGCCCGGGGTCAATTCCCGGAATACACGTCAACAACACGCCCACCTGCTGCACGTATGCTCCGACGTGCGACCTGAGCGACGCGTGCCCCGCCGGCTACACTGCGATGTCTGGCCGTGAGATGGCCTTCAATCCGGGCGACCCCGTAGGTCAGTGCGTATCCGGCGGGTTCGGCTTGCCTTGTGCAGGCGCAAGTATGCACACGAGCCCTCCGAGCACACTCCGCTCCGGTCTCTTCACTTGCACGCAACGACACCGGAAGGGCTGGGTGGAGGTCCTCTCTGAGGCTTCCGCCACAGCCGGCCTGTTTTTGACGGCGTCCGTGCTGGGCACAGCGATACTCTTCATATTCCCTTGCTCAAGGCCGGGGGAGCGAGGCCGTGTGTTTACATTAGCGAGTCGATATGGCCGTGGTTGACGAGTCGGGCCCCTTGCGTTGGCTGGCTCCATCTCCAAATGACAGTGATAATTAGAGGTAGCGAGAGACAAGAAGGGGCACACAGCGCGGCACAGAGTCCAGAGACGAGAGAGAGCCGGGGTCTCATCAGGTAAACTTCTACACACGCAAAGTGGGGGCGCTTTGAGGGGCGGGGGCAACCCTCGCACCTCCACACCAAGACAGAGTGTGCACAGGAGCCCCCACCGCGCCACGCGCCGCTCAAAGAGTGCCAATATGTGGGCCCATCCACCACGAACGAAACAACACTTGGCTCAGCCTCAGGCGGGTAATGCGCCCCCCGCACCCACACCCTCCTGCTCACCGCCCCGGCGCCCACGCCTCGATCTTCTTGGGCAGCACCTGGTTCGACCGGTCCTCTCCGTGGCCAAGGCAGCCGCGCTTGCCTTTGCCCCAAGTAAAGACGGCACCGGCGGTGAGGGCGATGCTGTGATCGCGTCCCGCGGACACAGCGACGGCGCGCTGCCCAGCCAAGGCCTCGACCTGCTTGGGCAGCAGCTGCTCCTCGTCGTCGCCGTGGCCCAGCCGGCCTAAGCTTCCCGAGCCCCAGCTCCAGACGGCTCCGTCGGCGGTGAGGGCGAGGCTGTGGCTGTACGCTGCCGAGACAGCGACGACGCGCCGCCCCGCCAAGGCCTCAACCTTCTTGGGCAGCAGCTCGCGCTGCTGGCCGCCGTGGCCCGGCTGGCCAAAGAATCCTGCGCCCCAGCTCCAGACAGCGTTGTCGGCGGTGATGGCGAGGCTGTGGCGATATCCAGCCGAGACAGCGATGACGCGCTGCCCAGCCAAGGCCTCGACCTGCTTGGGCAGCAGCTGCTCCTGCGGGTCGCCGTGGCCCAGCTGGCCAAAGTTTCCTTCGCCCCAGCTCCACACAGCTCCGTCGGCGGTGAGGGCGAGGCTGTGCATGCCTCCAGCCGAGACAGCGACGACGCGCTGGTCAGCCAACGCCTCAATCTTCTTGGGCAGCCACTGGTCCTGCTGGTCGCCGTGGCCTAGCTGGCCAGGGTAGTCATTGCCCCAGCTCCAGAGCGCGCCGTCGGCGGTGATGGCGAGGCTGTGGCTCTCTCCAGCCGACACAGCAACAACGCGCCGCCCCGCAAAGGCCTCGATCTTCTTCGGCTGCCACTGGGGCTGCTGGCCGCCGTGGCCCAACCGGCCACTCCATCCACCAAAGCCCCAGCTCCAGGCGGCGCCGCCGACGGTTAGGGCGAGGCTGTGCCCGGCTCCAACCGACACGCTCACGGCGCGCTCGCCGCCCAGCGCCGACGGGAGGCGGGTCGGTGTGTTGAGCCGCGCCACGCCCTCGCCGTGGCCGAGAAGGCCTGGAAACTCCTCCTCCTCGTCGTCCTCCTCCTCCTCGCCCTCCGTTGCCGCTGACCCGCACGACGAGAGCCGCCCCTCGCCGTCGATGAAGATGCTGTGCCGATCGCCTCCCGCCGCCCTCGCCGGCGGGTTGGACTCGCACAGCAGCGCAGCGAAGCACAGCCACCGCACGGCGCAGCCCTCGCCCTCTGGCTGCGCCGGAAGCACGTAGCCGCGCTCTTGCGCCCACAAGCGGATGGCCTCCACCGCGAGCGAGGCGTGGAAGAGCAGCGAGACGGCCGCAACGCGAGCGATGTCGACGGGGCTTTCGCAGCGAGAGAGGGCGCGCTCGAGGAGCTCCGTGGGAAGGTCGAGGAGGCGGGCGGGCGGCGGCTTGCTCGGCGAGGGAGCGGCGGTGGAGGCGGGGGCGGCGAGGCGGCGCGAGCGGCGCGGCGGGGTAATGGACATCGACACACCCCAAACTCCCAGCGCGGAGAAGAAGACGGCGCCTGCTCGGTGAGCCTGCTGCCCCTGGTCTTGAGTTGGGGGCGATCGGGCGCGCGGCTTAATCAAGTAGGGCCTCGTCAAGTACCACAAGTCGCTACTAAGCTATCCACCGCGGACGCCGCCTAAATTCCGACGAAACTATGAGCAACCCCCGATCCCGTGTGGCTTGACGCTCTCCTGGGCGAGACCGACGGCGTGGCGATCCCGCCTCAGTCGCAAGGTCCCGGCCCAATCGCGCTCAGTCAGATGTACCGTGACGCAGCCATGCAGCAACAGGAGTCGTTGGCACTCGTCGCCGAGTCACCGGAGCGCCGACTCGAATCCGAGATGCTCTCGGCAGGAGCGGCCGCACATTGCTCGGTACCCCCCCTGCACATCTAAAGTCATCCCTGCTGCTAGGGGGGGGGTCCCGACCCCCCCAGCAGCAGAGCGCTGCTGCTGGGGGGGGGGTCCCGACCCCCCCAGCAGCAGAACGCTGCTGCTGGGGGGGTCGGCCATGACTTTAGATGTGCAGGGGGGGTACCGAGCAGTGTGCGGCCGCTCCAGTCCCCAAGATGGCGA